GTCCATATTATAATACGGCACCAAATATTTAGGGTACCCAAAAAGGGACCATGATTTTGACAACCACCCATATGTATAGACTGTATAGAATAAAAGATGAATGAATAGAGGTTAGACAGGCTTTCTATAGGAGTTCTGTAATTGGTGCCGGTAGTCCAGCAGAGATCTTGACACGGATTGCGTTGTGCTTTAGGGCTTGGAGGCGTGCCTGCAAACTGAACACCCAATGTCAAAATGACGTGCAACAACGACGAAGTATGAAGTTGGAATTCAAGTCATGTGCACGCTTTCAAAAATGATCCTCATAGCATCCTTGATCGGGACCCGTGCACAATCCCTATCACACCTATACAGATGTACAACGGCACGTATATCTCACCTACTTTTCAGAAAAGGGCCCGTCTTTGGGAAAAACTATGATATGGTAGTTTGAATTAGGGGTTCCCGTCATATACACCCCAATATGCTACCATGTGGTTGCTGACAGATCTTGTATGATGTTGCGCTACAAATCATCCAAACACACAACCAACTGTCCGTGCCACGACGTGAACTTTCGACATCGAACCGACGCTGAAAACTGGGAGCCACTGCACTTCTGCCGGCCACAGAGCGCAAAGGGGATGCCTCAGCCAAGCGGACTTGAGTATCATCGTACTAGTAACAGAAGCTTCAGCCTGTTTCACGCACGAGCAAGCAAGTACTCGGTGCTTCACGCTCAGCAGCGCTCCGCAACTTGGTCTCCCCAGCTCCCGCTCGTTACTTGTAGCTCACTGGAAAATATTCCCAATTCAATTGTGCTCGAGGAATCGTGGATTCTGTTTCTCAGAGCTGCTAGGCCTTCACAACTTTGACTTCAGGGCGTCCCTGAGTTTGACACGAGGGCTGAAGCCAAAACTATCCAGCACGCAACCAACGCAAAGCCACCGAACAACTGCTAAACACAACTAGTACCATCGAATCCACCATCACCACCATGTCTGCCAGCGTCTCTCGGCTGTTCTGCAGAGCGCTACAAGGCATACCAAGCTTCTGGCCATGGTGTTTCAACAGAAGCTCCCCAGGTTTGGCAACTTCGGGCCGACAGCTGGCGGGATGAAAGCTAGCAGGACACCTTCTTCAGGCCGCGGGATGTTTGGGCTCAGAGGATTGCCACTTGGGATATCAAGTTTCGAAGCTTATCAGCTCCGGCTTTCGCTTAGGCCGGGCTTGGCTTGCAGGGGTTTGGGCTGGGCGTCGCAGGTTTAGGATGGTTTTGGATTGATAAATGAATCTTTGGCAGCGGTAACCGCCTGTCAGAATCATTTCAGGCTACTGGACAATAAGGGCTCGTGAACAGACTCAGAAGGCCTGAAGGGCCCTGTGGTTCTTGGACTTTTCAGGATGCTGGTGAAGGCTGCAATCTCAACAAATCCTTTACGTATAAGTTGGATGCTTTCAAAACTGTGTCAGTTTGGTTTGCATCCGTCCTGGTGGGGTGGATGCTGAGAATGCGAAACGGGTGGGATCGCAGCAGCTAGATCTGCGTGGAGTATCGTGGGTCTGCTTTCGACACGAATTGACATGCGCAAAGCTGAAACAGGCATGATTTGCAAGAGTTGCCTACTAGAGTAGTGAACCCCAGTTTGACCTCAATGTTTGGGTCTTCTGAATCCCTCCTAGAGGACTCCCAAATCTTGGATGGACGTTGACGAACTACTGCCCGGCTGCCCGACTTCATGCAGCTTTTCAGCTATGCACGCAAGGCTTTGGCGACAACGCTCCGCTGAAAACGCTCAGGTGGGAAGTGCTCGCTGAGGAAGGCCGCAACCTTGAGGGATGCGTAGAATTTTGTAAGGCTTCAGGGGCGCACCGTCCAGGATGTAAGACTCCAAAGCACGAGTTTCAAGGCGGGGCTGATGTGCTGAGGCTTTCCGCTTTTCGGATTCCAAGGGTATCCGATTGTCCGCTAAAACACGATGGTCAGGTGGTACAATGAGGTGAACCGCAGTTTGAAGCTATAGCAATTGAGCTGTGAGCATTTTACCCAAGTCAACTGGGGTTGCTTTCTCTTCCATCTTCAGGGTGTAGCGCAGGTGGCTTCACGTTGTGAAGTGGGCTGTGTGAGACTCATGCACCATGTCAGTAACTGTCGGCAATGTTGAGATGCTGGGCGTCAAAAACGACGACAGCTTTGAGGATGGTAAACCGGATACGCGTACTGCCTGTGATGTTAGCACGCTTAACATCTCCAACATCCAGCACAAGAATTGCGACCCCAAAGTCTCAATAACAAGGAAGGCTGCGAGGATCCTGACCTCGACACAGCCATACTTGTGAATAGGTCTGGGCGTAGGGGTCATGGGACTGGACATTGGATCTTCGTGGGCATCCATAGCAGAGAACCAGGGGTTGAACATGGTGTGCAAGGAAGCTCAGCTTCAGGCGTTGCCCGCTCCCAGGAGAGCTGCCAAGCGGTCGAGAAGAAAGAGCCGCACGGCAAAGAAGGCCTGCCCAGGCGCTCACAGATACCAAGGACCTGGACAATTTATCTGCGCCTCACAAGTTACAGCACCCAATCAAGTGCGCCACGGAGAGCCAGCTTTCCAAGTTGCCACCAGACCCGCCAAATACATCTCAAGGTCTAGAAGGTAGCTGTTGCACCTCATCCATATCCTTGGGCTCCGCGTTCTCAGCATCCTAGCAGAAGAGTTGTTGCAACACAACGGACGTGGAGATCGTGGGATTCAGGCTTAGAGGCTGCATAGGCTGCAATTCACAAGCTACAGCTTCAGACTTCAGAGTTGAAGGAATTGGGGCTTGGGCTAACCAGCTTGGAGCCCACAGCATGCCTACTTGCGACTTGTGACTTTATGAGAGATTCTTGCCCGGAAAGGTTGGCTGTTCAGCTACCACCTCAAAACCCGAAACCACGCATGATGCTTAACTTCACATCTCAAGGAATAGGACATGTTCGCTCTCAGTGAAGACTTGAAAGGTCTTACGAGCCTTAGCAAACAGGTTTTCAGAACTGCTCAGGGTCTCGTGGGGCCTTCGCAGCTGGCACTTGAGGAGACTAGGTTGGAGGATGCCGGAGGTCATTTGCATTTCGGCCGACTCTTTGGAGTTGTTCACTACTTCTGTCAAACGAAGCTCTTTATTGATCCCCCAAAAAACTTGAATACATCATGCAAGCCTACCCTGCATGGCGGCCTTACGCAGGTCTCTCGCCAGGACACCGACAGAGGCACTTCCGCCCACATCCTGAAACATGCAAAAGGAGGTGCAATGGCGGTCCTCTTCATGGAAGCCACGTGACTGAGTAAACTCTGTTTTGTTTCTAGGTTGAACTGGAGGCTTTTTCCAGGAAGTTAGCAAATGGCAAATTCACAGGGAAACCTGGACGTCCACCCCGTTCATAAACACTCGTCCAAACACAAGCCTAGTCTTTGGCTGGTCCCTACAGTATTGCTTCAGCTGCGCTAGCAGGTTTGCGCAGAACTAAGCTTCCGGCAGATAGCAGCAGTTCCACATGCCGTGCTAGCCTGCAAAGGTCCACAGACTTCACAGGTTCAAGGCTTAAGCTTTGTCTTCCAGCTGTCCTGGGCTAGGCGATGCGAAGCTGTGGGAATGCTGACGGGCTTCAATGCAGTGTATGGCTTGGGCCTTTCTAGTCAAGGGCAAGATCTAGCATTGCTGTCGCATGGATGGTTGTTGCATTGTTGCATCAGCATAACAGACTTGTTGGGGCATTGTGATCTGCAGTAGTTCTTCGCAACGGAAGTGCTATTTGATTTAGAATGCTTGTGTCAAACGCATTGCACCAATCCAAGCAACTAGCATGTCACGGGCATTCACATTCTATTTGATATCATTTCCTTGTCGACAACTAGAGCATCCAGAGTTCTCTGAGAGAACTGCTTGCTTTCGCTTTGACTTCTAGCCAGCATCATCCAACAATAAAACCAAGAGCAGCTGCCACTTGGAAAGCTAAGGCAGAACTGGAGGTTGTATATGAGTAAACTGAAACAGAGAACGCAACTGTGTGAGCCAGCAGTCACATGGAGACGTGTGCACCAAAGCCTGAGCCTGGGGACTTGAAAAACATAGCCATCAGACGTCTGAAGCTCCTCAAAGCTTTTTGTTTGACAAATGGCTCAGGCTCCCGCTCCAGCTCCAAGTGCTGCGGGAATGGATGTGGGGACTCCATTAACACCTTCGGCTCAAATGCAGCTATTGGGCTCCCGAAGAGGACTCGGAATCCATAGAAAAAATTGGTGTTTCTGTGTGAGGCCTTCTGTGGTTGGTTGCTCTTTGGACCCTGCAAAACCAGACGAATTGCAACTACCCCATCGAAAGCACCTTACATTGATGCTGTTTGCATTCATGCAATGTTCCAATGTCGAAAAGGACCTTGGCAGCTTATGATGGCATCAGCGTAGCATAGCCACAGCATCGTTACAGCCGACGAGATCCTCGTCACTCAACTGTGCGATGTGATCACGTCGTTCTGTGGAAAGCCGTCGCAGGTAGGTGGCCGAGCCACTGTCTCAATTGGCCACTGCTCATGATACCTTCAATGCAGACTTAAGCATGCCAGCGCTATTCTCAAAGGGTACGACGTCGCTGATCCTTGCAGAAAATGTAACATCAAAACGTCGATTTCAAGCGCTCAGATGCTTACTGACTTGGACTGACAACTTTTCCAATCAGGTCCAAGCCCCCTCCTTGCAGCAGAGGGAAGGCAACTGTAGGTTGGCTTAAGCTCTTGACTGCACGCGAGCCCTTGTCAAATCGACTGACATTAAGCTGTCTGGTGTTGCTTCCAAATGTTTTTCCTCTTGCCAACGCATGTCTACTTAGGGCGAGCAGGGCTTGCAAATCGAAGAGTCGCCAGGGAACAGATGTCAATGAACTCTCTTGGGATCACAGGAGCCCCCCCGAAAAAATCCTTGGGTGGAGTGAGGTCGAGAGATTCTGAAGGCCGACAGCTTGAATGCCTGCAGCAGGCGGAAAAGTAAAGGCTTGGCAATGCTCGACTCCTCCCTCCTGAGAAGCCTCTTCACACCGCTGAGCACCTTGCCTTCAATAATCCTGCATCTCAAAGAAACACATTCTCCCTTGGCACCTTGTGAATGGCAAACCAGAAATTCACGCTGATGCTCCAAGAGCCACCTTGGAAGCTAAGTGCTTCGTACTACAGTTCAACGATCCAGGGTCTTGGGGTGTAATGGTTGGCTTGCAGGTTCTGGTTTGCAGAATTGGGCTCACACTTACCTAGCGTTGCAGAGTCTTGCGCTGGGATGGTTAGGCTAGTGGACTTCCCAAACCCAAAGAGCCGCATCGCAGTTGATGGCCTGTCAAGATTCCCAGCTCGGACTCAGACTGCAAGAATCCCGGGCCTGAAACTGTGGCCAACGCTTACTTTGAGCCCCTTAAGGCCTCGCCTGAACCATTTTGACCTCGTGCCGAAGCTGCTGAAGCCGTTTACAACTTAGACCGGTATACCCTCAAAGGCTTCAGCACAACCTCTGGAAGCGTTCAACGCAAGAATTCGCTCAAGGTCTAAGAGCTTAAATGCAGCTCGAAGCCAAAACCTTCGTAGGCACCAACTGCAAGCCAAAGCGCACGCAGCGGTGCCCTGGACATGGTGCCACCAGTGCCTCGGCAACAATGGAATAGACCTTACTCTTTAGGCTTGGCAGTGGCTTGCATTAGAGTGAGACCTGCATCTGCCTGGCTGTGAAGTCCCTGAACTCCTGGCCCCAACCCCAAATCTGGGCATCACGAGCCCTGATCCCTCGTCGCTGAGCGCGTTGTGATAACAACGCTCCTACTCAGAATCCTCGTGCTTTCAGTTTTCATTCATCCGAGGCCGGTGCGTGGGAATGAAAAGCGCCTCTCCCGGCCTCAAGGTGGCAACCTGGGGAAACCATCTGGTTCGAGAGCTTAGATGCTTACACGGATTCGGGTTCTTAGCTTTGCAAAGGCCATTACAGATGTTGGAATCTCGCTTGGCTCGAGCTACTGCCACTCCATGTCCTACAACCACAACACTTATTTCCGCGGAATCCTGCCTCCGTCAAGCTACAGCAAGCCCCGTGTCTCTGGAACTTGTTGCATGCTTGGCATAAGGAAGTGGATGCTGGGGCCCCCTCTCGAGACACAGCGTTTTGCCATCACACTTAAGACCAACTTTGCTGAGAGCTGCATCCAAATCTGTAGGCACATTGGCACTTGGCTGGGGCAAGACCCTTGTAAACTCTGCTGGAAATCCCCCATTCATGTGCTCTGGCCCCCAGCCCCCGTATTCATGAAGCGTTACAGACCTGAACTGCCAACATTAATCTGACGTCATTAAAGCCTACGGCCCGCGTGAGTGTGCAGGGAAAGCGGCCGCGCCCCGCTTCTCGAGCACCTGACGGTAGTGGTCTGTGCACTTCAACCATTGGGTATATGGACATCATGGTGGACAGATGTGGGGACGAAGGTCCTAGAATTTCATGTGCAGGCTTTTGACACTTTTGCAAGAAGAGGCTTGCTGGGGCGTAAATAGTCTATAGGATATTCAATCCCGCCACTCAAGGGCCACTTATGACTGACAACTACCACCCAGCAACTTTTGGACTGACGAGTGCAAGCGAAAGCCTATGATCCCATAGCCATGCACGAGTCCCATGAGCTGACAAACCTCGAACACCCTGAAACAATTCAAACCTGCACACACAAACCCATCGGAATGAGCGCGTATGTCTCAACCATGCCAGCGCAACATTTCTTGCAAGAGGGAAGCTCTTCGTGTCCACGTTCTGCAGGTCAACCTGGAAGCAAGGAGAGCAGCTACTTACTCTCTGCAGTAAGAAAACCAGCGAACGAACTAGAGCAGAAACCTGCGCACATCATCAGAAAGCTCTTGAACAGCAGGAACGTCTTTGAGACGCAGGCCATGGCGTACTCGTCATAGGGATGTGAGACGGGGAAGGCATAAAGCCTGCATTCATGCCAAAACCTTTGACTCTGCAGCGCTTTGCGGGTCTCCTCAGGAGTTTGGGTGGTAGCTGGGAGTAGTGGCAGCTTGGTGCAAGTTCAAAGATGGTTCAAAACCTATGAAGGCATCCAAGGCGGATGTATCACGAGCGCTTGGAGAGCAGGTTGGCTTTAAAGATCTGTCATGTAAAGATGCATATGCGAAGCCGGGAGTGAACACCAATTAGATGAGTAGCGGACACGTGAGCTCGTAGCTCCTCCCAGGTTGACGAGTGGGATGCAAAAACCACCCAATAATTGATCCCAAGCCCCCATGCAATCCCCAAAACAGTTTCCTCTCTGGGCGCGCGGGCCCCTCTGCTGCACGAGGGTCGAAGAGGAGAAAATGCTTCTCACCTTCCACCTGCATAGGCATAGTCACTATCTAAGTAAACTTGTTGTGCGCTTTACAGTAGAGGGTCCAGAGTCAGTTGTCACTATGAGTATGCGAAAAAAGCTCTTGCATACCAGGACCTGCAATCCGAACTCTAGCACACAATTGCTGGGGAATCCGTACATCGCCCGATATCGCAAAGACAACAGCGCCTGGATGACGCAATTGCATCTAGCCGGAATGCACTTCAAATGTTTCAAAGCGCTTCGTAGCCCAGAGGCCATACGCTCAGACTGCACAGCAGCGTCTCCTATGGTAAGCGGTGACCCGACTTGCGGTCTCATGCCAAGCCTGCATGTAGATGTTGTCCTTGGCCGAGCACTAGAAGCAGATAGATAAGCTGACACATCTTCTATGCGAGGAACTACCAAGCCTCATACCACCCCAAGTCTTTCTCGCAGGACCTTAATGCCCTGAAAGGAGCTCTCAGCTCGCCGGGATGACCGAGGTTTCCTCTGACCGTGTTAAGGCGAAGACTCACCCGAGGCTGCGGCATACTGGTCATAGTGCACCGGTGACAAGCCTTAATGCGTGATGGGGGCTCTTGCAGCTATAGCTGAAGCTTGCACGGAATTGTGGGGTGCGAGACAGCTGGTGTTCGAGGATCGTATATCATAGGACAGATGGGTGTGGACATTGCTGTTGCTGAAATCCAGAGGAAGTGGCACTTTCAGAAGCTATCCCCACACCATACAGCCCTAGCAAAAAAAATGAATCCGTGTTCACCGTGTTCTCCCAAAATTGAAGCCTGTAAGACCTTGAGGGTGAGCCACTTCCATCACCTCCAAGCACTTTTGGAGGCGCGAGTTCACGTCTGTTGCTTTGACTGAAAAGCAATAGTACACTCCTGAGACCTGACAAGTGCTGCTCGTGCTGACTCCTCTGTCGCATACCATTGGAGCCATGAAGACACAGAGAACAGAGAGTCTTGAAAGCTTTGTCGTTCGTAATTAAACCCCAGCACAGGCCAGGCGCCTATTTTTCAACTGCAAACTCGACACTTCTCTGACAGAACTTTGCTTCGCTGCCAAGGGGCTTTCCGACGGCCCAACGAAGAGTTGGGAGCGTGACCAGAATCCAAAGCCGCCCGCCGCCTGGAGCCGTTGCGGAGACATGATGCAACAGCCCAGGCCTTCATGGGTTTTCATCTTCGAAATCATTGCAACATCATTTCACCCATTTCATTTCTGGCTTTCAAGCCTGGTCTTACACTACTCTACAGGTCCCGCGGTCTGTCTGGGAAACCTGCAATACGAATTTGGTAAGCGTGAAAGGCTCAATCTGCCTAATCAGATCGATGCAGGCGGATTTCTACATGCCAAAGGCATTCTGATATAGCGAAACAGTCTTGACAGGAGCGCTGGGCGTTAGATTATTCTAGTACAGACTTGCAGAAACGGCGCGAATGGGGAGTAGCATTCGGTCCTCATACCGCCCCTGTTCAGCCTGCAAGGCTTCCAGGCGACCGCGGTTCACGCGCTGCTCGCAATCCTGTCTGAGAATGCTTCAGCTTGAGAGCCTGTAAGCCTGGAAGGAATTCCAGGGTTCAAAGCTTTATCTTGTCCTTGTCTTGTCATGGGAAGCACAATCATGTTCGAAAGGCCGCAATCAGCCCAAATCCTTCATGTGAACCTACAGGGCTGCGTATAGGAATCTGCAATTCAGAAGGCTATCCAATGAATTCTTGAAGGCTCGAACAGCAGCTGGCAAGCTGACAAACGCCCTGGCAGTCCTTCCGCAGTTCTTCGTCGATGCCAGGGGACCAAGTCTCCGCCAAGCCGTTGTCTGTGGGCTGGCGCCTCGAAGGCTTGGCATCTTCAACGCCTTTTAGAGCTGCTTTGCTCAGTTCAAAGTGGAGTTTTTGAGGAGCTTTCGAGCTTTACAGCCAGCCTGAGGGTGAAAGGGAAGGCTGCAAAGTTTAGCTCACAGAACAACAAAAGGCACGGCTGAGCTTCGCACAGAACCAGTGGAGCCTGGAGGTAGTATCGGCCATTTGGATCCTGATCTCTTGCGAAGTCCAGCATGTGTGTGGAAGAGTCTTGGTCAGCGTACAAAGACCTTGCTGCAAGCAGCTGACGAGCTTGTAGCTACCTGATGCGTAAGTGTGCAGATTGACCCCTGATCTCAAATGGATAGCAATAACGAGTCAGAACCTTAAGTCTTTGCCCAGACTCAACGAAGACAAGATCTTTGTCTGTGCGCTACACAACCTGCCCCCCCATGTAGCCCCCATGCTCGACCGGAAAAAACCCTTCAAGCATCATGCCCAAAAGCCAAGCAATTGACTTCATGAACAGCATGTTCTTGGTCTGCATGGAAATGATCAGAAACGGCTGTCCTGCTTGGCAGCTTGCAAGAAGCCATCGAAGGACAATCGCATGTCCGAACCTGGGAGTAAGGATTCAAAACAGCTGAGATCAGAATTGAATGTTTGCGGGGCTCGGCCTCAGGACCTTGTAAGGGCCTCAAACTTCTCAGATGAACTTATTAATTTTGGTGAAGCACCACTGCTGAAGACATGTGCTGAACTTTCAACTGAATGACAACCGAGGCCAATGCCGCTGGCTCTGTGAAGGGTCATACCGACCACTCAAAATGTATGACGTCTGCTAGGGTGTGCCTTGCACATGGCAATCGCGCCAAGAATTCCTGCCGACCCTGTCTTGGAATCAAGCTGGCATGGCGCGGAGCGGTCGAGAATGCTGTCATGTCGCGATCCGACTGCTCCTGCAGATAAGCAGGAGATTTCACCGGGACCAGGATAGTTCTGTACAATCAAGATTCTTGGCCTGCATTGACTCAAAGTCTAACTGCGCTTCTGGTTCATGGTTCCGCGCGCAAAGCCACAACTTGTGAGAATCATGGTCTGCACACCTCACAAGCCTTGAGGTCTTTTGCCTCTGTAGTCTTCGTGTGGGAAACTAATTACAGAAGCAGCCCTCAATCGAGCACAAGAAAGGGAAGGACAGTCCTGGCATGCGTCTTGAAGTTGCGTTGCCCTCAGGTTTGTCGTTATTATCCTTCCAGAAGATTTGCTCGGAGCCCTTCACCAGCAATATGCAATGCAGATCTAGACTCCACCCAAACCATGCGCGGCAAACTGCGGACAAGCACAGGAGTCCGGAACGTAGTACAGATAGCGGTTCTCGCCCCCTGGCAGGAATTCCGACTGGGATCATGCAGCTCCTTATTAAATGCTCAGATCCGTCAGTGCTTTGCGGAGGCTTCATGTCCTCCTGCTTCTGCTGAAAGAGGAGCCTATCTGGAAACATGCACAGAAGAGACATCTTGCTGGCTTGATTTGATGATGTTCAGGGCAGACGCGGTTTAACAAATCCTGATGCGTTGAGCTGAATAAGGCACTTCACGCCAGATTGAGATGTCTTCCCCAAATCAAATGAAAGCATAATTACAGTTGCTCAGTCAAAGCCTTGGGGGTTCGAGACTTTCCTTTCGTTGTTCAGGCGCTGTTTCAGAAAATTGGACGGTAAGTAAAGTGACGCACATTGAGGAGCAGTGCGAGAGTGGGTGCTGTCTCCTTCCTGTGGAAGTTTGTCGCTCATGGTGTGCATTCGCCATAAGAGGAATGCAAGCATATGCCCAAGGAACAGACCAGCTCAATGAGAACGAGGTTTTTGTAGGGTAATCGAAAAATTGCCCTGAAACAGCCTCGTGGCAGCCCCAAATTTCTGTGAATACAAACCCAAACGCCCAAGTCCCTATTGAAGATGCAGCTTGTACGGGTAAGCAGGCCTGAAGATCTCAACACGTTCATGCCAGGCCATTCGTTGGTATGCCGGCCTTAAGCGATGGCTGCACATATCCGTTCGTGGAGAAACGTTGCCTCTCCCTATTTTGCACTCAAAACGGATCTGTATTTCAATGGTGAAAAGGCAAGACTTGCTACTACACCGCTGATGCTGCAGCCTTGCACACTCCATCCCAGGGAACACGATGAGTCCCGAGCGGAGATAGCCAACATCCCACTTGCTCCTCACAGTTTTGGAAGCTAGCTTTAACCTTGAAAGTTTCAGGAGAGTGGAGGGATTTCAGAGTTCTGTAGCTTCTGCGAATTGGGTAAACATTTCTCCAGACTGTATCTTGATGTGCTGCGACACTGCGTCGGCTGGCCACAACCTGGGGATGGTTGGCCATCGCTGCAGCAATCAGGCTTCGCCTTCTAATTGCACGTGGAACGATCGCGCACACACACGCATTGAATGGTAGCAGCCCTGCCACGGCTGCGTTAACCCTTTTGTGCTTCCAGGTTTTGCAACCGGCAATGAACGCGCCAATGGCCGCTGCTGGGGTGCTGGCATGGCCGGCATCACGTTCAAATTCAAGAGAATCACCGGCACCTGCAAAGTGCACAGGGCCTGGATTTACCTGTAGACCGAAATTGGTATACTGGAAAGCAAAGGGTCTCGTCGTGGAAATCCAGACGGAAGTCTTGATAACTACGCAGGGATGAGCTCAAAGCATCTAAAAGCCTACTTCGTGGTGGTTCACGTCCGCCAAGTGACGGCAGTGTGCATGTGAGCTTTTGTCTTGAGGAGGTTTGGAACATCTTAGAACGAACGAACACACAGGACCACAAACCTGTTTGGCTGGTATAGGTTCAGCGAAAAGGGCCAGTCTGCCACAGCTCAAAGCCTCAAACAAAGTACAAGCATAGCCGCTTTTTTTTGCTATACGATTACAGCGCGCTAGCGCATGACTATAAGATTCTAGCGGCAACCTCTGTGCCAATGCATGGCGATTCCTCTGATGGCATGATGGAGCCGAAGCACTCTAGAACAACCCTTGCATCGCCACGCATCTCCTGAGAAAAGGAGCTCATGAGAGGGGTGCACTCCAATGAGCCGCAAATCATGTGCTGTCCTGTAACAAAAACTTGGTACACTTCTCGATT